AAGAGAGGGATCGTTGGAAAAGGTAGAGGTGGAGAATGTTACTGCCTCTAAAATTCTTATGGCTCTTTGGAAAAAGGGATATAGAGCTGGGTATAGGAGGTTGTGTCGTTTGAACGTATCTGGATGCAAGGTTGGAGCAATGAAGCGTCCAATCAAAAGGGTGCAGAAGATCGGCACTAGGAAAGCCTTCATGAAGAAGTTCAATGTTTTTGGATCGTCTCAGCGTGGCTCAGGAGCTGGCGGAAAACCAATCATGAAGGTGGTAGGACCAAGGCCAGGTTTTCCAGCTGTACTCCAAGCATCAAATACTGATAGCACCTGGGGTGAAGGGAGCAGTTCTCAGGCACATGGCAATGTTCATGTAGAGCAGAATCGCCCTATGGACCGGTTCGAGGCGGAGCGCTTGGAGAAGAGGAAGAAAGGCTTCTGCTATTGGTTCAGTAAGGGAAAAGATCGCTGCAAATTTGGTGAAGACTGCAAATTCATCCATTCAGAAGATGATGTGGTGCTGCATTCGTATTGGTGCAAATACTATGTGGCGGGGAGACCCTGTTTCGCTGGAAAGACGTGTGCGTTCTCGCATGATGCAACTGGTGTGAGGTGCATTCAGTTTGCTCAGTCTGGGAAGTGTCGTTATGGTGACAGGTGTGTTTTTGAGCATGGTGATCCGCTGAATGAACAGAGGCCAAGGTCTCCGAGGACGCCCCCAAGGGATGGTCCAAGGAGAAGTTCTTGTGCAAAAGGTGGGGAAGAGGAGATCTCTCCTGAACAGTTCGAGGATGGTGAGGAGTATTCCATGACTTATGACGATGACACCAAAATGTCGGAACTGTTGATGGAAGCGATTTCATTTCTGTCGAATGGCAAAACAGATTTGGCTCGAGCAGAGGCGGACCCACTGTTCAAACTCCTGAAGTTCAAGGGAGATGCTGACCAGATGGATAGAGAATGGGTTTCGTGGACCACTGATATGTTGTCCGTGCTGGAACTTCACGAAGTAGTGAAGTCGTATGAGGTTTCGCTCGAGGAGGTGGAAGAATGGGTCAATGACCTGAGGATATGGTTCGAGCGAGCCAACGTGGAAGAAGAAAAAGATCCCAAAAGGGGCAAGAAGAGGTCCCTAGAAAGGGAGTCCAGCAAAGATATTCCTGCCGAAAAGGAGGTGGTTGAGACTTCTGAGACGGAGGTTGCCGTTGAGGAGGAGGCAAAAAAGGTTAAAAAGAAGAGGAAAACTGCAGTTATCGAAGATCCTTACACTCTCCTGTTTCCAAAGCCGAAGAAGATGCCGGCGACCATTGAGAAGAGTGGATCATCATCCAATGCGGCGGTTTCTGCAGGGGAAAAAGCCTCGAAAATGCGCACAAAGTCAAACGTCGGTGGAAAGGCGAAGAAGAAGGAGAAAAGTCAGAGTCCCAAAAAGGGAGAAGTGGTGGTGGTGAAAGGTCCTGAGGAAAAGGATCGTCCTCCTGATGTGGATGCGCAAGCGTCTACAGCTGTGAGTGCAGAGCTGGGTCAATCTTGCCAAGCGATTGAGGACGCAAAAAGAGAAGGATTGGTATCCTCAATTCAAAGGGGCGTACAGGATCCTGTTCTTGCAGTTTCGGACCTGGAGTATATTCTGCTGCAACTTCACCTCAAGATTGCCAACAATCGGAAAAAGAAGTGATTGGATGGTATGGATGAAGGGATGGTTTTTCTCTTTCTGGAGACAGGTGCGCTGGAACAGCCAATGTGCTGACAAATGTGGTGGTTACTATTAAGGGTATGGAAATCCCTGATAGTAGAAGTCAGTAGCTTTTCGCGTAGCGAAGACCACGGTTTGTGGTGAAGAAGGCCAAGGAGTCTTCAGTGATGAGAGGATCATGGTGAAAAAAGATTCTCTATGGTTAGTGGATTTAGCCAATGTGCTATAATTTCGTCCTGGTAGACGTAAAACCATATTGTGCATTTCAAGCAGCTGGCTGCTGCCCTAATGGCAGTTTTTGGCCAAAGATCTGCACCTCCAATGTGTCCTAGGAAATCCTAGGACAGGGGGAGTGCGGAGCTGCAACTGGTATTGTAGAAAAGAGTTGGTGTTGAGAGTTGGAAGGGTTAATGAACCCGGATAACATGTTTGGCTCAAGATGGGCTTGAACAGAAAGCCACAAGTTCAAAAAGTAGTGCCTGGGTTCTTAGGGTTTGGTAAGGGTGTGGATTCCTTCCCCCTTTCCTTCCCCCCTGGGTTGCTCTTATCCGTGTTCTCGTTTGTTTCTTGGTTCGATCTGGGGAATATAGGTTCAGGGCGATTAGGGGAGTTGGTTTCCTTCCCTGGTTGTCCCCCCGTACCCGAAACCGCTCCTCTGCTGCTCCGAGAAAGGCCCTGCTACCACATGCGGGGCTTCGACCGCTGCTGCCCCTGGTTTCTGCGGAGGCGCTGTCCCTGGCGCTGGAGCCCTGCGGAGGCCCCGGATAGGTCGCTGAACTCTTCATTGGGTTTAGAATGTAGAGTAGCAGGCAAAAAGGTGTTTTTGGGTGGAGGTTAGGCTTGCAGGGCTTTCCAAGGGCCCTGTGGCAAGAAGGGAGTTTCCAACTTCGAGGCTCCTACAACGGTCCTACAACCATGATTTCGCAAGTCCCTTGAACACCAGCTACCGTAGAATTCCCCAACGCTTAAAGAAGAGAAGGGTCTTGTCATGTCTTTTCATGTAGGGGCCGTGCCTGGCTCGGCGGTGGCGCGGTGCAGCCGCGCCCATGCCTTGGATTTGAGCCATGTGGAGTAGGGCGCATAGGGCCGTCATAGATGGCGGCAGTGGAATTGGTGGAATTGTTCTAAGATTCTAGTAGGGATGGCAAGGCTCTGCTTCGGCTTTGAGACGGCAAGGGCATGAGTCAGCCATTGCCGCTTCATGTGTGGTTTGTGCCTGGAAGTCCCTAATTTTCAGCTGTCGAGGCAGCCGCTGCTCGGCCTTGACTACGTAAGGGCAACGGTTCTACAATGTTCTGCAGTTATTCTGCAGTTATAGAGTGACCTGGTCCTAGCGTCTTCGGGATGCAGGGGATGTCGGTGTGTTGTCTCCGACTTACCCAAATGCCTTTTGGCTGCCTCGGCGACCTTAAGTCGGAAGCCGTCTCTTCGTGTAAACAGTGTAAACCTAAACCCTAACGAAGGTCCTGGGGCGCTTGGCCACCGACGCGGCCGCCGCGGTGCGGGGCGAGGGTGGTGAGGCCGTGTAGGGCGAACCCTGAATCCCCAATGAGGACATCCCCTGGGACCTCAGCACCGCACCAGAGGGGACCTTTAAAACGGCCAGGCTTCCGGTTGGAAACTCCTCCTTCGGTCGATGCCGCCCGTGGGGGCTGCAGCGCCTTTCGACGGGGAGCACGCTGAGGATCGGGGGCTTTTGGCGTGGGGTGCTTCCACTGAGGGCCTATAGGGTTTTTTTGGCGAAACTCGGCAACTCGAAGAACGTTTTGGCTGTGGTATTTGGGGCATTTGGAAGCCGAGTTAGGGCCGTTCGGATGGTTCGGGGTTTCCGAGAGCTTCAGCAAGGCTTGCCAGGAACCGATAATGGCTGAGGGCCGTAAGACCCTTTGAGGCATAGAGCCCTTATGGAATGAGCTGGTGAGATTCCCCTGAAATTCGTCTTCTTAAGGCCGTTGATTTTGGGCGCGGTGGGAGGGGGAGCATGGTGGCTGGTCGTATATTAACTTAAATTACAGCACAGACTAAACTCAAACCACGAGTGGTTTGCACCGAGCATCATCCCCAAACCCCCCCAAAGTCCTAAACTTCCTAGACTTCCTAAACCAAAACAAAGCCCAAAGCGAATTTTTCAAAATCCCAGAGCCCTGACAGAGCCCTGACAAACCGCCTTAGACTTGACCTCCAAGAGGTGTTGCCTTCAACAGAAGCGTTTAAGCCAGTTTAAGCCCTGCAGGACCCTAAACCCTGAATACCCTAAATTGTGACTCATCGGCCTCTCGTAGTTTATCGGCCTACATGGTTTATCATGGTTTTTTCCTTTCTCCCTGGCAGTACTGGCTGGCCGCCTTTGTAGACACACTTTCCGCCTTCCTCCGATCCCCCGACGTGGAGATCGGCTCCCAGGAGGCTCATTTGCGCTACGATGGTTTAAGGGTTCTCATGCATGAGTCTTTATATGGGCTTTGGTGAGCGGGTTATGTTGGAACCCGTGTGTTTTTGTTGCGTAGCGGCGGCGCGTTTCTAAAACTCTTTTTGCTAAACTGCCACCCGTGGTTTTTTCTGTGTCGCCTCGGGACGGACCCGGGGCCAGGAGCACAGGAAGGCCGCGGAACAACAAAAACAACGCGGCCACGGAACACAAAAAAAGCGCCCGCGGCAGGCGTGTTTTTTTTGCTGTTCCGTAGCCGCGTCGCCTACGGAACAAAACAAAAAATCGCGCCCGGCGCGCCAGACGTGTTTGTATTTTGTTCCGTAGCCGCGGGGCCATTTCATTCCCAACACGGAGTGGCCACGCAACAAAAAAGTACCCATGGGAGTCGGGCGCGGCTGCGGACCAAAAAAGGCCACGGAACAAACAGTAACGCTCTTACCGTGTTCAGGGTGGTGCAGTTGCATAATTTTTCTGGGGCCCTGGAGAATAAGTGGCAAAGTGCATGGGCGCAGGGTTTGCGCAGGATTGTGTTTTTGTTACTAGGGATTTCAACGAGTCCAGGATGACCGGGGTGGAAAATACTGCGACACCCTCCCTCTTTAGCCCTTTCGGGGTTGGGCCGCACGTAGGACCACACAATTCTCAACTTTTCAGGTTTTTCAGTTGGCTCTTAGAACTTTCAATATTTCCAAATCATTTTGCACTTCGGCTTTGCTTCAAAGAGTTCGTCTCAAAGGCATCATGCTGTGAATTAACCTCGACCTTGGCACGTCAGCTTGGCCTTCAGTCAGTGCCACTTTATCCACGGAAATCGAGCGTTAGCAATTAGCTTCTCGAACGCTCGAAGGCTCGAATGCTGAAGCCCAATGACAATTCGTTTCATAAATGCAGAACTCCATATGGTTGATTCATGGCTTCCCAAGGTCTCCGCTTGAAGATTCCACATTCCAGACACCTCCACCGAAGCGCGATGCCCATGAGCCGAGCGACCCATCCAACGGTTTTCCAGGTCGGCGTCCTGTGGAGTCGGCTGGTGGCAGTGATCTCAGTTCTCAGTAAAATTGACCGCCTGGGGTACCACGTGATATCCTCTCGGTTGGCACGAGCGTGTTTTGTTCAGTGTTTCTTTATGCTCGCTGGTTTTCGCAAGTAGGGTGTTGCGACCTTCTGGCCAAACCAAGACCAATCTTCGCAAGACCAGTTTCTGACCCACTGTTCAGAACCTAAACGAGGCCAAACCAACCAATCTTCCCAAGCTAGGCGTTCGCTGGCTTTTGGTGGAGATTATCGACACTGCCACAAGCGCATGCAGAGATATCATCGGAATAGCGGCTTAGCGGCTTCGAGTATGACGAAACCCTCAGAACCCCAAAGTCACAAGGTCCTAGCCAAACGATGGCCTGAGCCTTTGAGAAGCCTGCAATTTACACATGCCTTCAACACAAGACTCCCCCCCCCCCCCTTCCCTTCCAAAAAAGAGTCTCCAAAGCTGAAACCCTTGAGCCCGCCTTGAGCACAGAGAGCGTCAAAAAGCAAAAGCCCAAAACCCAAAGCAATCCCAAGGGTCATCGAACCCAAAGCTTTTGGTCGATTCGGAGCTTCAACAAATCACAGAGCCTTTGTGAACCCTCAGCACAAAGCCCAAAATCGTTCCCCCCCAATTCCCAACAGAGACCACAAGCCCTGACCCGTCACATGAAAACGCGAAAGCTTTACCTGGCCTCGTTCTGCCCGGTTCCAAGAGACTGACAAGGGTGTTGTTTGGGGTTCAAATTTCAGAGTTTTTGCGCTTCGTCTGCTCGAACCCCGAACCCAAGGTCCGGCCAATCTTTGGCCTCCCTGTCAGCTTGGGTGCCCTGCAGTACTTCAAGCTTGCGTCTGGGCCCCTGTTGCTTCGTTTGACGTCCTCTTCTTGTAAGAAGTTCTGGCGTACTCCAACCGATGAGACAAGTAGGGCTATGTGGAATGCTACTTATCTACTTATGTATGCATGAGCTGCTTAAGTCGGTTCTTTTAAGGCTGAAGGCTCGGGTTTGAGGATGTTGACATTGGGGTTTTGGGGGAAGGGGGTGTTTTCAAAGCTCTGAAGTCCCCTTGCGCTTTGTGTTCAGGGCTAGATCTGTTGGCACCTTTCCTTTCCTAGCTTCCTGTAGGTGAGCTGGAAAGCCCACTCACACCTAACGAAGCCACACGCCCTGGTCAAACTGCTTATGCTCCCCCATCGGCATCTCCGACAAGCCTCTGATGTTTTTGCCTGCTGCGGTGGCTCGAAGTCCTAGTTCAGTCCTTAGGGCCATTAGGCACCACTGGCGGCTTGGCTTCGTGTGGAGGTTCCTGATTGTTGACGGTGGGTGCCAGAGTATACATTGTACGCCTTAGACCTTTTCTGAAGCCAATGCCCCAAGCTCTGCCCACCTCAGAATTACTAATTCGACAGGACCAAACGAGGCGTGCACCGATGTCTTTTTGCAAGCCTCTGCCTGAAGGCAGAGTCATCACTCAAAGATTCTCCGGCGAGTGTTTGCAGGTGAGCATTCCGGGGAAAGCGCGGGATTCTGGATTATCTTGAGCACCCCGGGACTGGGCAGGATTCTGAGGCTTGCGGCACTTTTGAAGCGTACACTCTGGGTGCTGAGGCACAATCGAGCCACCCCACACCATAGGGAGGCAGCCAGAAAAAAACTTCCATGAACACGCTCCATGCCCCAGAAACACAGGCCCAAACAGGCTTCTAGTTCACGGATCGTGGTGTGGAAGGGGTTGCGAGAGTTGGGGGTTGTGGAGTCAGGGTTTCAACCTACGACAAAGTGAGCAAGCCCCAAGCTTGCAGCCCTTGAGCGCATTCCTCAAGTCAAAGCTGCCTTGTGCCCAAAGCCCACCTAAGGTGGGCTCTTCCCCTCCAAAATGAAGTTCGGACTGCAGCTCGCGCTGGGGTTGTTGGGCACGGCAAAGGCAGGGGGGGGGGGGAGGGAATGGGCCAACAGCAACTCCATGGATTGAGAGTTTCAAACTTTCAAAGCCAAAAGACTCTGAGCCCCAAAGCCCGCTTTCCGCGGCCTGTAAGCCTGTAATCCCCAAAAACCCCAAGGCCCGAAGACCCGCGAAGCTGAAGCTCGTGGAAGATGTTTGTGGAGTGCAGGCACTCAGTGTCGACGACATTTTTGCCCATGGTCAACCCCGCGTCCTCTGGCAGCAGTGAGGGGCGCGGCATTTGGGGGAGGTCTATTGAGCTGAAGGGAGGATATTAGGCGCAGTGGCGCAGTGTCAGCGGATGTTAGCGGTGCACTCACCAACTTGCGGCCCGGAAAGCGGAGATTCGCGTCCCGCTGCACGACCCCAACACCTCCCCCGGTTCTCTGCAAGTTCTCCGAGCCCTGAAAGGCATCAGCGCTTCGGCAATCCTTATTGCTTGCGGAACTTTGGGAACTTAGACAGAGGCCCAAATCGGACTCCAATCATGAAGGCCCGAAGCCGCGAAGCCCATGCAAAATGCCAAATTGGTCTCAAGCATGCTGAGGTGACGAGCGACTCTAGCATGTCCCTGGCTTCTGTAGCAGGTCCCGGGCTGAGGGGGATATGGAAACAGAACCTCCGACGTACACCAACCACTCCAATCATTCCAATCCTTGAACTCCAAACTCCTAAGTGCTTGCTCTTGGCGGGTTGGGGCCGATAAACCCTGCAACAAGTGGAGTTCCATGCATCTGAGAATATCCGTCGCCCAATGCAGTGATAAATGTAAAGGAAGCTGGAAGCGCAGGCTGAAAATCTTGCAGCGGTTTTCACTTTCTAAGCTCTGAACTTCCCTAAAAACCCTCCAGACCCTCTAAGATCTAGGATGGGGCGCAGGTGTGAGGCCTGCTTAAACAGTCTGCGTGTTGAGGCTCAGAGAGGCGTCGGCTCTTTTTGTTCCCCCCTTGATGGCAGCTTGCTTCCTTTTCGTGTTACTTGTCAGTGCTACTGCTAGTGCAAGATTTAGGTGGATCGTTCTCGTGGAACCAGCAATATACATATATATATATAACTATATAACCAACACCTCAGCCTTAATGAAGACTTAGAGGAGAGGGCAGGCCCCACACGCCAGAAGAACGCCACAGACGCCGCAATGCCACAGGTGCCTTGGCCGACATGGCCAACCAAGCCAATAGCAGCTCGACAACAGTGCAGAGCATCAAGGCCTGCACGTGCTCTTGTTCGGCTCAGGGACCGTGTGGGCAGCTTTTTACAGTTGTCCTTCTTTTTTCTTTGTGTGTGTGTCTCTCTGTGTCTCTGTGTCTCTGTGTCTCTGTGTCTCTGTGTCTCTGTGTCTCTGTGTCTCTGTGTGTGTGTGTGTGTGTCGGTGTCGGTGTCGGTGTCTGTGTCGGTGTCTGTGTCTGTGTCTCTGTGTTTGTGTGTGTGTGTGCGTTTAGAGCTGACGAGGTTGCAAGGCCTGAGGCCTGCGCAAGCGCTCGCCCGAGCCATAAGCCTGGACACGGGCCCTCAACCCCGGGCCCAAACCCTGGCTTTGTGCAATGCTTTTGCAGTTTTAGGAATCTTTTTTCTGTTTTCACGAATTAAAGAGCATGGAGTTCAGAGGACAGGGCCCCTGCAGGATTACATCTCACAGATGCTGGCTGACATCACCACCCAGCACAACATCGCGCAGGCGAGGTGGACCAGTGGAGCAGGTGGCGGCAAGACATTGTGTGCTCACGGCTTACGAGGATGCTGCGCCTTTAGAGCGCTTTGCGTTTGTCGTGACGAGACGCCTGCTGGATTCCTAAATCTCATCCCATAAACTCCCAGCGTTTCCAAGTTGTCCCGACCTGAAAGAAAACTACTTAAGAGCAACAGAACCCTTCATCGGTCTAACTTCTTCAGTGGTCGAAACAGCCTTTTGTCCGGTGCAGGCCGAGTTAACTGACGTGTCCGGCTACACAAGCTGCATCTTGGGTGCACGCTGTGTAAGCTTTGAAGGGATACCCCGCTTTTGAGTCCCTCCAAGCAACCGAGAGGCGAGGGATCGTAGTGCCTAGCAGCGATGCCACCCATGGAATCATGGAAGATGCCTGGATGAAACGAAGCAAAGGGAGAGCTCGACAAAAAGGAGAGAGAGCCATAGAGCCAGTATTGCAGCCTTGGCAAGATATAAGAAGCCCAGTCACTCACGCCATGTCGGACAATGAATCGACAAAGCGTCTCGAAGCATGGACTAGTCATGAAGGACATGAGCAATGAAGTGTATCCCGCAGAGAGGCAACTCAAGAACCTACGTTGCAGCTCTTCCACCTCATCTCGTGATCTTCAAGGTGGATTGATGATGATTGATGCATGAGGCCCATTGCCGATTCTGATGCCCAGCGTCAGCGAGCGACGATCCGGGAGTGCAGGAATTGCAGGAACGCTTGATCGCATCACAAGTTCTGTTCATGCACTACAGGAGCCGGTCAAAGAAGAGCGAGTGACCCCTCCAACAAAGAAACGCGACAGCATCACTGAGTTCACGGATGCCGCGAGTGGGAGTCCTCACTATCACTTTGCGAGCCTCTTGACACCCGACAGACCGACCAAAAAGAAAAACAAACAGCCGCTTAGGAAGAAGGCTCTGGGCAGTAGGACCTCTGCCAGATGTCCGTTTTCACCCTGTTTGCTGTACAGTTACACATGTCATACCTTAAGAAGGACAACAAATGTAGCCAGTGGCAATGGAATCCTGCGCGACCGGCGCCCCCAAAACCCGACCCCATTCCCACAGCCCTGCTAACGCTGAGAGCATGAGGCGACTCAAAGATGACTGCCTCCATGGCAAACATCACGACGCCGGCTCCCAGCACCACCGTGACCACCACGACGATTCTGGTCCCAAGATGCTACAAGTTGTTGGGTTTTCCGTTTAGTCGCTTCCTCGCTTGATACCCCCAACTGCCTTCTTCTGTAGATACCGATGCCGAAAGTTGGCTCAGGGGCCGTGCTGTTTTTGTTTCAAGTGTTTGGGATTCAGGATACTTACCACCACGCTGGCGCCGACCAGCGCCGAGCTGGAACAGTGCCTGGCAGAGATCCAAACCATCAACGCCTCCGTCATTGCCTGTGCCTGGCTTGTAAATTCTAAAGGTGTCAGGATGAGAATCCTGAAAGCCCGAATCTAGAGTGCACGACCGTGCGCGGCCTCATAGCTCGTTGATTCATATGCGGTGTTTTTGTACATGCATCTTTTCCCACAGCTCCATACCCAGTCGAATAAAGGGCCTTGGTTCGTTACTTTATACAATTCTGTTGCTTAGTATTCAGAACTTTAGGATGTTTTTTGGAGCTTCAGGATGAAACTGGAAGGTTGCCTTGGTTTTGGAGGAATTTGTTTTAATGTTTGCCTGATCCGGAGCGTAGCACCGAAGGCCCAAGAGCCTCCTAAAGACTCGGTTCGGGACCCGAACAAATCTGCACCCTGAGCCCTAAAAAAATCTTCAAGCCCCCAAGATTGCACCCTAACTCTCAGTACTTCGACTCGCCAGCTCTTTTTCCCCTGTAGGCGCTTGAAGCTGAAAGCTCTTGACTGCCAGGTGAGTCCGAGGCTGCGGCCGCGAAGATGGCTTCGGATGCGGTGTGCGCCAACTTCCACTTCAAGCATCTCGGTCGGGAAAAATCGAGCGAATATTAGCTTCGCAAATCTTCGCAATAGTTCGACTCCAGGAACTCCCAGGAACTCCAGCGCACAGTGTCAGGGCACTACACAGACCATCAGTCCAATACCATTATACCAAACATATCAAACCTTCACAACTCTACCTTAACAACTCGCACGCCTGAGCCCCTGCCCTTTCCTGCGCCCCCGAGCCGTTTGGTGTCGGTCTCCGAAGTCCTTTTGTTTCGGCACAAGCTGCTAGTTGAGTTGTA